ATCTTGGCGATCCTGGGTTTGCTTATGAAATAAAAAGTTCCTCCACATTTATTAAAAAAAACCAAACAGTAGATTTAAAAAGCAGTTAAGAGTCCTACTCCGGCAAAACACCCTGCACAGGTTTCTTTTGTTGTTGTTTTGTTTGCTTTTTTCTGACGGTGAGGATTCCCCCTAAATCAGCTGCTGCTGTTAATTTTATTTATATATAATCTTTTAATTTTGCCGCGCATTGCTTGCTTTAATTAATTAATTTATTTCCAATCAGCCTAGCTGTCTCCACCAGACCAGCGGCGCTACCACACAAAGCTTCCTTGATGTCCATGCCCTGAGCCGGGGGTGGGGGGGAGATGGAGGGAGGGGAGGGAGAGATGAGCAGAGGAGGAGGAGGAGGAGGAAGAGGAGGGCTGGAGGGATGGATGGAGGGAGAGAGGGAGGGGAGGGAGAGGAAGCCGTCGGCAGCCCCTCACTCTCCCATGTGCGTCCTCAGGTGGTACTTGAGGGACTGCTTGTAGCGGAAGCACTTGGTGCACTCGGTGCAGGGGTAGGGCCGCTCGCCGGTGTGCGCCCGCTGGTGCTCCAGGAGGTGATGCTTCTGCGTGAAGTTCTTGCCGCACTCGCTGCAGTGGTAGGGCCGCTCGCCCGTGTGGATGCGTTGGTGCTCCAGGAGATGGTGCTTGCGGATAAAACCCTTCCCGCAGACGGCGCAGGCGTGCGGGCGCTCCCGGGTGTGGATGCGGTAATGGTTGGTGAGCTTGGACTTCTCGCTGAAGGTCTTCTCGCACTGGCTGCATTGGTAGGGCCGCTCGCCGGTGTGAGTCCGCTGGTGCCGCAGGAGGTGGGAGGGCCGGGTGAAGTTCTTCCCGCACTGGGGGCAGAGGAAGGCCATCTCGCTCTTGCCAGCATGAATCCTCTGGTGCATGATGAGGCTGATCTGCAGGCGGAAGCTCCGCCGGCACTCGCTGCAGGTGAAGGGCCTCTCCCCGACATGGGTGATCTGGTGTTTGCTGAGGCTCGACTTGTGGCTGAAGCTGCTCTCACACTCAGAGCATTTGTAGGGCTTCCCCGGAGGTGGGGGCCGTGCCTGGGGCTTGAGGCCGTGCTCAGGGCGTCGGGGGACCCCCACGCCCCGGCGCGTGTGGCTGCGTTGGTGCAGCAGGAACTGCTGCTTGTTGCGGAAGCTGAGGTCGCAGTCGTGGCACTCATAGGGCCCTTCCTTGAGGTGGTTGCGCTGGTGGATCATGAAGTTGATCTTGAGCATGAAGCTCTTCCCGCACTCGGGGCAGATGTAGGGTCTCTCCCTCGTCCGGTTCCGCTGCTGGGCAATGGCTGGCTTCATCTCCCCGGAGTCCCTCTCGCAGGCGGGGGGCTTCCCCACGCGGGCGGCCGCCAGGCTCCTGGGCTGCGTTTTGGAGCTGCACTGCGCCTCGCAGCCCAGCCCGGCCTCATGGCTAGGGAACGCTGGCGGCTCGGTCCTGCCCGAGAACATGGCGCACGGCTCCAGGGTGTCGGGGTCGTCCTCCTCCTCCTCCTCCTCTTCTGTCTTGATCACAATCCCGTCCTCTGCGGGGGGAAAACCGGAACAGCATTAGGGCCATCAGGCAGGACGTGGTGGCCTTTTACACACCCAGGGGGTCGCTACAGAAATATCTGCGTGGGCTTCTGTGAGCTGTCTGCACCGGCCTGACCGGGCATCTGACATGAGCTGGCTGCAGCCCAGAGCCCTGCACCCCGGGACGGGGCACGGCACCTCACAGTGGCAAGGCGAGCCTGCGCACCCCGCCACATGCAGGACAGACAATCTGCCTCCCGGACAGGCTCTTTCAGAGATTTTGCAATTTCACGATGCTGCAAGACAGGGGATAAAAGCACCGTGGATTTGCGAAGCCTCTGAGCAAACGGTTTCAGAGCAGCTCCATCTGCTGCCGTTTCGCTGGGCTACAACCGTGCTTCCCACACCTGGCACTGCTCGACAGAAACACAGCACAAGGCTGCCGGCCTGCAGCTCCGCTCCCCAGGCGATGCCTGTCCTGGCCATGACAGGGCACGGGGAGAGCCCCCCCTCCTTCCCAGAGGCAAATAGCGTGGGGTGAGATGGCTGGCTGCACACCAGGCTGCCCCCTCGTGTCACCGATGCCAGGGGTGACCTGGTGTCTTTGTTTGGTGAGACTGTCCCGACCGAGGACACGGGCAGCAGGACACGCAGCCAGTACGCCCCGAGGAAAGGTCCACGGTGGATCCCTCACACGTCACCCCGTGCTGGACTTTGAGCCAGGCCTATGTACTTTTCTAGGAAGAGCAGCCACGCTTTCCCAAGAAGAGGCAAGCGGATGGGAGCAGGAGGTATGAAAGCTACGGCCCTCTCCTCTCCAACAGAGGCATCAGTGAGGAAAACTCACATTCCCAGGTCCTCCTCCCCACCTCCTCACAGCAAGGAACTTCCCCTTTGCAGGCCCAGGGGCTACCACTGCTCCAGAACCGGCCACCAGCACCCGCACCCCGGTCAGAGAGTAGCTGCAGCTCCCACTCAGCCCCACCAGCTGGGACCCTGTGCGTCAGCGAGGACCAGCTCCGGCCCTGGCGGTGGCTTGGCTGGTTTCCTTTAGAAAACCATGTGGAGACCACAGGATCCACGAGATGGAGTTGAGGAGGGCCTCAAGAGCCCGACTCTGTCTTCCTTGGTTTGTGTCCCACCATCACAAAGCTGTCAGAAGGCAGCGAACCTGCTGTTCCCAACAGCCCATCTCCCCTCTTTGCCACATCTGCAGGACCTGGCCCACACCTGTCACCCGACTGGCAGGTTCTACACATGAAGCACCCGGTGCCATCTTCTCATCTTTCCACTAAACCTCACCCTTCCCCTTCCCTCTTAACACAGACCTCCAGCCACCCTCCTGCCCTGCCCCGCATGACCCCCATGCTGGCCGACGTGCAGGACCCCACCGTTTCCTCCCGCCTGAGCTGCCTACACCCTTCCTTTGCATGCCCAACGCCAGGGCAGGAGCCCTCAGCTGACATCCTGCAACGGTTGGATTGAGCCCTCAGGGATCTGGTGGAGTTGGGAACGGTCAGGGTGAGGTTCATGGTTGGACTGGAGGAGCTTCAAGGGCTTTTCCAACCCAGATGTTTTTGTGATTCTGTGATTTTGGCAGCGGGGACTCCCAGGGGCTCTCACAAAACGCCGCCTAAGACGCATCTTCCCTTGGTCTCCATGTGGAACAAAGGCTTTTCCCACCCATGGAGGACTGAGCTGCTGCTTGCTTGCTCTGGAGTGGGTCAGGTGCCCTCAGAGACTGTGCTGGTTCTGGGGGGGTTTAACCCTTTTCTTTCATCCAACCCATTCCTCACCTTTGCCTGACCCACCATAGCCCCTGCTGGGCCTTCCGTCCCTGCAGCCATGCCCCGTGCTGAGCATCTCACCTGTGCAGCTCCCGTGGTGAACGATGACTCTCTGGATCTCGTTGAAGTCAGCTACGTATTCGGACGAGTCACCCAGGCTGGTTCCTGGCAGGTCCCTCGGAGGGGAGACGGAGCCGTAGGGACTCTCGCAGGCTGCCTCCTCGTCCGGACTCTGGAAGCTCCCCTCCGACTGCCCCGACATCCCGTGCAGCTCGGGGTTTTCGGGGCTGTCTTCAGGAAGGAGCTCCTCTGTTTTGATCACAACCCTTATGCCAGCTGCAGCAAAGAGAGATTCCCGCTTGCTATCACTCTCGGGAGCCAGGACAAAGAAACCACTCGCAACAATCCCTGCGAGACGGCTCTGGCTGCTGATCCCGCAGCAGTAAACCCTTTTTCCTAATTTGCTCGGCCGCTTTCGCTCTCCTTTCATCCCCCGTACTTCAACCATCCCCGCCACGCTCCTGCCTCTCTCCAGGGATCCTCTGCAGGCACAGGGGACTCACCCTGCCCGACCCAGAGACTCAGCACCCCTCTGCCACCCCACATCCTCCCTGGATGCATCTCCCTCTGGGCAGCAGATGATTTTTCCCTTCCCATTGGCCTCAATTTAACTTCAAGATTCTCATCACCAAGAGCACAGGCAGGGGGACAGAGTGACCAGCAGCTCCAGGGCCAGAGACCGGCAGCAGAGCTGACACCCACTCTTCTACGACACCTCATTATCAGCCCCCCCTTATCTCAGAGGGGGACTCAGGGTCCCTGGTGCCCTGCTCCCAGCCCAGCCCAGCCCTTGGAGAAACCCCTCAGCACCCCGGCTCCCTGCACGCAGGATGGGAACTGGGTTCCCTGCCCCAAGGATGATGCTCCAGGGATAAACCCAGGCACCATCCACACAGCCAGAGAGGGTGGAATTTTTTGGGTGTGTGTGGGGTTCCCAATGGGACCCCATTCTCCTTTCTTGCTGGGCTCCCCAAGAACCTGTTTGGGTTGCAGATGCTTCCCCTGCCGATGGCTCCTAGCGCCCAACTCCCCGGGCTCCGCTTTCTCTGGATTATATCTTGAGCTGTACCTGGACATCAAACCTCTAATCCTCCAAACCTTTCTTGCTCGAACACAGGGCTCCTCCTGACAACCTCCTCAGGCAGCACACGGCTCTCGGCAACACTTGCTTTAGCCTCGGGGCGAGCAGCTCCTCTCAACACAACCCACTGCTCCCCCTGTGCTAAGCTGCCATCTCACCTGCGGTGGCATCAGTCATGATCTCGCTCTCCTCTAAGTCCTGCTCATTCCTGACCCGCGATTCCTCTCCTTGCTCGATCTGAGACAAAACACCGGGTTTGGAAATTGCATAGTCTGTTGAGAGACAGAGGGATGGAGAAAGGGATTACTGCATAGGGGATCCTACTATCGGCTTCCACCTCTCCCCAGCGCCCAGGGGGACAAGTGGAAATGCTCTGGAACATCCACAAAGGGTCTGCAGGCAGGACGGGCAGGAGCCAGGGTGCCACACATAAAAGAACTACCTTTGAGAGGAAACTCAACCCATGTGTTTTTCTGGTGGAAGTTTTAGAACTTCTCAGGCAAATCCCTGGCTCTCCTGAAGCCAAAAACACTCCACCCCTGATCCCAGCAAAGCTGGGATTTCTCCTGCAGCTTCAGTAGGAAATGCCCCAAAGGAGCATAGCTAAGACCACATTAGACAATATTTCCCTCTGCAAATGTTTCCTCTGAAGGGATGCGTGGGCTGGTACCCGCTGCAGGCCCAGGAGATGAAGGGAAACCCTTCCAACAGCCATGGGGATGGTGCTGGATTTTCACTGAGACACTCTGGAAGGAGCCTCGGGAGGTCTCCTGCCCCTCCCCGCCCACAGGCAGCCTCCCCTCAGCCAGGAACAAACCCCAGCATTGCCGGAAGGATGCCCTTGCCCAGACTAGAAATATCCTCCTGGGCTTATAAGTCGCCTTTTAAAATGTGGGTATCTCCACGGAAGAGCCGGAAGGTGGCCAAGCCTGCGGGCAGCCTGGAGCCCAGGAGAACCTGCCTTGGTGAGGACACCCCGTATTTACCCAGGGAGATCAGCGACTCGTAGTTCCCCTTCATCACATTCTTGTAGAGCTCCTTCTGCCACTCCTCCAGCTTCTCCCATTCCTTGTCGTTGAAATAGACGGACACGTCATCAAACGTCACCGGCACCTGCAATCACAAGCACCGCGGGCTGACACCGCAGCCTCGCTTCTGCTCGCACCCAGCCAGGTTCCAGCTACTTTGTGGCCGTCAACAAGTTGGTTTTAATGTTTAAAACAACTCCTGAACACGTATTTCTATGAGATCAAAGGTCTCGGCTGAAAAGCCGCTTCCCTTGATGAAGCCAGACCGTGATTTCCCCAAATGCCACTGACTCCCTCCTCGTGGTCCCCGCAGAGGCAGGGATAACTCCGCAGAGGTGATTGGGCTTGCGCCTGCCTGGAGGGAGCCTAAAGGAGATAAAAATCATGTGCTGGGGCTGGACTTCATCTCTATTGATGAGCTGACGTAAAACCCCAGATTCAATTACCCCAGAACTCAAGGGAAAAACTCTACCCGGGCCCGAAGGGCTCCCAGTTAGCGTTAGTTACTGTGTGCAAAGCGGCCGGGCGCAGAGCGTGGCTTTCTGAGGATGAATTCAGGATGCGCACGCTGCGCCACATCTGAGCGAAGCTCTTCAGAGTGAAGCGCAGCTCCCTGCCTGCACTAATGGGGTGTCAGGGTCTCACACCCCTTCTCCAGACCCCTCCGCTTCTCTCCGGAGACATTCACGGTCCCACACGGTCCCATTTGCGAACTTTCTTTAAGCGAGAGGGTGGTGAAGCACAAGGAACTGATTGTTGATGGTGGGCTCCTCCCGACGCTCGGCTTAAGCCCAACGGCCAGCGCGGGGCCCGTCCACCTTCCCCCAAACCCCTGATCCCCCTCCCCACGGCGGCAGCCTGCTGCAGGAAAGAGCCCCGCCACAGCACCAAAGTGCTAAAAGAAATGGTGCGTTAAAATAAAGAACCACCAAATCTGCAGGATTTCTCTCAAAACGATGGATTAAAAAAAAAAAAGAGTAAATCACTCCCAGGCTGTGCAGCGCGGTGAAGCAGAACTGAAACCTTCGGCCTGAGTATGGAGGGACCTTGCCCCCTCGGGTCCATCTCCCGGGGACGCCGGGACACCACGAGGGACAGATCCGCTGCCTCCGCATCATGACAGCCAGCGACTCCCCTACGCCGGGGCTGTCCCCGCTCACACCCCCCCGGGAGCGTTTTTGGGCGCAGACCTGGGCTCCATCACCCCAGGACACCGTTACCTTGGGGACTTCCCCCTTCCTGCCCGGCGGCAGGCGCAGGATCCAGAAGTTCCTGTTCTTCAGGAGGTTCTCCATGTTCTCCAGGCGCCGCTGGAGCAGCCCGTACTCCTGGATGAGGGTGCCCAGCGCTGCACACTTGCTCTCCAGCTGGTTCCCCAGCTCCGCCGCCGTCTTTTCACAGTCGATCAGCTTCTTCTCCGCCATCCCCGTCCGACCCTCGAGGTCGAGCAGGCG